CTCCTCGCACAAGCTGCTGAGGCAGCGCTTCCGCATGGCATCCGCAGGAATGAATGAATGGCTGGACGCAGCCTCTTGATTTATACTTCTGCGCTAAGTTGGTCTGCCCTGTGTCCCTTGGCCCTTGGTGCACACAGTCCCAGACGGTACTTGCTGGACAGGACCGGACTGCCTAACTGGGACTGTTGACTCAGCAGGGTGGCCTACCACCACTTGACCACTCGCCTCTGTTCAACGTAGGCTCACTCCGAAAGGCCACTTCTAGAAACCTCTGACTTGGCCTTTCGGTGCTGTAGCAGCTACGACCTTGACCCTTCAGACATCCTACAGCTACGACTTCGGAACTGTCTAGACTTCTACCCTACAAGTCTACAGTTCGATTCCCTTCTAAGCTGTGACCTACGAAAACCTGCCTACCACTGGCGGTCCTACAGGTCGGGGGCTCAAGTCTACGGGTTGACACTGGTACTGTACACAGGTAAGACGGGGAACTAGGGATCGAGCCCTGGGATCTGCATTCGCTACTGCGAACTGGTGAATACGGTTTCATTTATGCAAAATGAGAATGAATCTTGCGGCCCCTCGGGGAAGATTCATTCTGATTTTGCAGTTGTGTCCACGCTCTGTGTGTGTGTGTGTGTGTGTGCGCGAGAGAGAGAGAGAGAGAGAGGGCAGGGCAGAAAGATCAATATGGGAAGTGCTTGTGCAGGTTCTCAATGGCTATCCGGTAGGGGCATACTGGAAATTTGCGAGAGGTACCGGTAGGGGCATATGAAACATGTGTCAGGCCCAAACGACACCAGGGGGAAAATCATTCATTGTCAAAGGGGTGCGACAGGGTAGGGTGGCCGTCAGAGGGGTATGCCGCAAATTATTCGGAATTTCAGCGGCATCTCGAAAATTTGAGCAACAAAGAAAGGTCTGTCACAGCCAAAAAAGGACTAGAGGCACAGCATGGCTCCGTAGTGACGGCCCGACCACTGCAGCTCGACCTGACCGGAGAAAACCGTAGCAGGCTGCTGGTGGTATATAGCCAACCGAACCTGGGTGTGTGTATGTGTGCGTTGTCATATTCGCTATACACTCAAAAAAGCATGACTGTGCCAGACTGTTTCTGTGTGTGTGTGTGTGTGTGTGTGTGTGTGTGTGTGTGAGAGAGAGAGAGAGAGAGAGAGAGAGAGAGAGAGATTGACAGAGCGAGATGAGCGTCCAGGTCTACTGCTTGCTGCGCATTCCAATAAACGCACATCTTCTATTTGAAGGGGCATATCATTGCCGAGGTGCGGGGTGACTTTATCGCTACAGTAGGTTCTTCGTTAAACAGCTAAGGCTTTTCTCTGCAATTCGGCACGGACGGCTCCGCCAGCACCTCACGGCCTTACTCGTTTTGTTTACCAGTATAATATTGGAGTCTTCTATTTTCATCCAATCGGTTCGCCCGATTAGTTTCCTCCATGCGAGGTAGGAAGCGCAGAGGAAGACACCCCCCTCCTCCGCCCCCCACCCCCAACACACATACACACAAACAAACAGAGCCCTGCTTCTGTCTCCCTAATTACCCAAGTGACCAAGTGAGATGTGCTGCGTAAAGTGTCTGAGGATTCCGAATGGCTCGGTCACCAGTTAGCCACCGCACGTCTGATCCGGATATATCCGTTGAAGTGTAGATGTAGTTTGCGGCGGCTAAGGCGCCCTAACAACCGGTAGCGACCGAGCCGTTTGGGTCCTTTGGGATGCTCAGAAACTTTATTGAACGCATATTACTTTTGCGAAATTAATGAGACGGAAGCAGGCACGTGTTTGCCCCCGGCGCACTTGATGAGACTAAATCTGTCTGCTACATCTGTCTGGACAGATCGGCAGGGAGGTAGTTATCAAAAGAGGAGATAACAAAGAGAGAGAGAGAGAGAGAGAGAGAGAGAGAGAGAGAGAGAGAGAGAGAGAGAGATCAAAAGAGGAGATATTAACAGGTTCAACGCGATTGTCTTAGGAGGACAACTACGTACCAGTTTGGCAGCCCTTGTCGGTTTCAGCTCACGATCCGGATTGCGTTTTGAAAGCACGCACTTGACATCCGAATGACGAAAATAGTCTTCCGTTTCCTCATCGCGAGTTTTCATAAATCCTCCTTTCAGGAACTCAATTTCGCGCCTCGATGTCCTCTCGTCCCAGATCATCAGCACCACCTTCACCTTCGTTGCGGCCTTTTTCTTCAACAGTTTCCCCAGTGTGAGCTGACTTCCATCACCCATCGGCCTTGCAGGGTCCCTCACCAGCTTGATCTTGTCGTTGACGGACCACCCGACGATATAAATCATGTGCTTAGCGCCGAGAATCGCTGCACAGATGTCCTCCCAACACCGTCCATGTCTGTACGTTCGCCCGCCGTCCAGCTTTATGTCCTCCGGGAGCGCCCCATCAGGCACGTGGGCGGCTTGATACAGCGTGACGCGGCAACCCCGCCTCATGGGGAAATAAGCGCCGGGCACACCAGGAGCATCTATTGAATCCGGCCTCAGATAGCTGATGTCCTGGATCTGGGCCATTTGCCCCGCCGGTGCCAGACCGAACACAGTGCGCCAGCCGGGTAAACTCTGAGCGGGCTTATAATGACACCCCAAGTCAAGCATACACCCTCCCGGGTAACGGGACCCGTCCGGTTTCAAGACCTCGAACGATCCGCCTTTGACCTGATTAGCTACGGCCAAGGCTTGGACGGGAACACGCACGCTTCCGATGACACCGGCGCCAAACCTGTTGTCGTCCTTGATGGTGAAATCTATCGTGCTGGTATGATGGGCGACGTAGATGCTGAAAGTCTCGTCCCACTGGGGGTTCTCGCTGCTCTTTTTCACAGAAGTTCGGGCAACGCGAGCTCCGGCGATGTCAACCACAACGTACGGATCGCCATGATTGCTCACTGTCTCGGTGAGTTTCGATCCCGCGGCCAGTAGCTTGTCAGCCACACCCACAGTCCAGTCCACGAAACTCGTCCCCACCTTGCTCAGTAGCTTGTCACGCATACACGGGGAGCCGTTCAGGATATCCTCCGCTGTAGTCCTCGCCTTCGCTACATTCCTGGCGCGGGAGATGGTCAACACAAGCTTGCCGTGTAACAGGACGCCGCCGAGCGACCGCCCACCGCAAGACGCCGGCGGAGAGCCCATTGAGGACCCAGAAACAGCACCCAACGACATACTGAACGAAATCCTCTCTCTCTCTCTCTCTCTCTCTCTCTCTCTCTCTCTCTCTCTCTCTCTCTCTCTCTCTCT